CGTTCGAATTTGCTGCCGTTTGGGTGCTGTTTGAGAGTTAAACACCTGTCTTCGCTGAGATGTAACCACAACAGACGTCTGTGGAGTTGAAAAACCTCTTCATGACATTACTTGGTGAACACAGAAATCCCATCAATCCAATATCGAGCAGCACAACTACGAGTCTTACTTCAGCGAGGGGGGTAGAAAGCGTTATCTGCGCTATACATCCACGTTAAGCAAGAGCAGGCTCAGCCCATTTCTGTTTAAGGAAAGGAAATACAAGTTGGACCTGCATCTATGCACAGTTTGTAAAATGCACAAGAAGACTACAGTGATTGAGCAGCTGTGGGTGAATGTGATGTTTTCCTACTGTCACTAATGTGCAGCAAGGTGGAAGCCAAAGTGAACATGGACACTGAAAAAATAAACTGCCTAAGAGGGCCCCAGCTGCCAGAAGCTACTGAATCTGTCCCACCTTTAAACTTCAATTTAACGCTATTCTTAAGAGCTGGAACAGCTGCATCACACAAAGACGCTGCTCAAGCTGTTTAAGCACCATTATTCTGGCGAAAATAGGAGGGTTCACAATGCTGTTCAAGGATAACTTCTTAAAATACTTACATATAGAAAAGAAACAACATTTTTTTTTACTATATTCCACATCATTATCTTTACAAATGCGGTGCATTTAAATCACATGCCCAATGCTTCCAAATAACCACTGCGTTAAAGCTACACAAATACATTCTTCATTTGGACTAGAGATCATGACTATCAGCAGCTCTTTCATTTCCTTTAATCTTTCCTTTATCCTTTATTAATTATTTTGAGAGTCACATCATTTATACTGCAAAGGGAGAAACTGTTAAAAAAAACAATCTAGCCAAGATTTTGTTTTACTCAGAACATTTATTATTTTCTGAGTTATTTTCATGAGGTCTTGAGTTATTGGTGGCATCATTCTTTTTTTCCAGTGTACCAGCCACTGTAACTCATTTCTTATGCTTTCATTACAGTTAGGGCTGTACCTATAGTACTGTGTGTTGCAGGATCCCCGCTAGGTGATGGTGAACATGCATGACCTGAAAAGGTAAAGATATTCACTGCCCCTCCCCTTGGACACCACTAGATGGTGACCTTTCTATTTAGTTCTTGTACCCGACAACAATCTTTAAAACTGCCCTTTATTTGACACAAAATCTGTGAAAAGCCTGATCGGTTAATCTTCACATTTTTACTCATGCCCTCATCCATTATGTATGGCACATACATGTGAAGACATTCAGGTAAGAAGAAAACACAACCAGCTGCAAAGAAATCTAAGAAAGCTAGAGGAAATTAAGCATTTTGCAGAAAAGAAGTGAATAACCTCTAATGTTTCACCCAGCAGAGAACCGAAAAAGCATGAAGACACGCATATACTACACATATTCATATACATAGGATATATACTATGTAGCATATATATAGACCATACATAATATCTGTTGGGGAGAGGTTCTAATGCTTCCATTTTAAAGCTTGAAATGCTGATGCATTTATCTTCTCTTCCATTTTCAAAACAATATGGGCTCCCACCTAGTCCTTTGTGCAAAGGGCTTGTGCAAAGCTTTCGTGTTATATGCTTCAATAAGACACTTTTAAAGGTTTATAAGAACATAAACAAGGTTTAATCTATCTTTCCACATATTTAAGCAATTGTTTAAGGGACTTTGTAGAAATGTACACAGCATAAACAGGGCCAAAGCACAGAAATGACAAATTACAAATTAAATGAAATTACATTTGTAGAGGTAGAGGAAACCTCTTATACATTGATTTCTCCACCACGATAAATTATTAAATGTATCCTGCTCACAGGCTTTTTTTAATTCTAAGTAAAAAATAATCATTCTAGGAACCACATTCTAGGAACTGGACGATGCAAAATCAATTTCTACACTTCTTTACCAAACGTAAATGTTACTATCCCTTAAATAGCACGCTTGTACTTTAAATGTAGGTAGCTGCATTAAATTAAATCTTCTCCATATGCTCAAAACCTGCATTGCTGTTGCATGTAAAGTAAAGGCACATAAAAAACCATCTTGAAAAAGAAAAAAATAAGACTACAATGTCAATAAAATGTCTGCTCTCCCTGTGTTTGTGTAGGTTTTATCTGGGTGCTTCAGTTTCCTCCCACAGTCCACAGACACGCTGGCAGGTTAACTGGATTCTGTGAAAACTGGCCTGGTGTGAGAGAGTCTGTGGGTCCGTCCCTGTCGTGGGCTGGGGGTATCATGCCTCGTGCCCGATGCTTGCAGGGACAGACTCGGGCTTTCCCGAGAGCCTGTTTTGCCCACCTGAAGTGGTTAGAAAATGCACGGAGGGATGGAGAATGAAATAAATAAGCTCTGCTTCTGACATGTTATGTCTTGCTCGAGGGGAGCTCCTGTGTAAAGAAGTGGTCCCGAGTGTTCAGAGTCAGAAAGGAAACCAGGCCCGACCAGCGCTGCAAGTGACCAGAACCTGTTGTTCTTTACCGTTCACACATACAGTACTGCCTGAGCTCTCACAAATAACCCAGTCCAGCCGAAAGAGAACGGGCACAGACACACTTACTGTGTGCAACAGTTCAAAAGGAATTGATTTCATCTAGCTGTGCCTCGCAGGGTGAGGCTGTAGACAGGCTAGCACCTTCCCAGTCTGGGTCTACAGTCTGCAAGGTGTTATACAATATTAGGTATTCCAGACAAAAATATTTTGTTTCAATTTTAGGTTCTATAACTGGAAAGAAAGATATGTACATTTAAACAGGCTGTAGCCTAATGAATAACCACCAATAATACTTCTGAACAGAAATGAGAAGCCCCGACTGCCGCTCCTGGGCTGTCTCTTTAGGAGGCTCCAGCCGTCATCAGAAAGCTGCTTATTCTTAGTATGAGCTGCTGCCGCCCGGAGCCCGGCCCGAAATACAGGGTGCGAGGCAGGCCCACAGCCTGGACTTTGGGAGCCACCCTGTCTTAATATAACAGAAGACTGCACCTAACATTGCAGTTCACCCTTTTAAATCCGACTACTCTTTGTGGCAGCACACCCTAACGTGGCACCCGAAACTCTGCCATTTCAGACTACTTCTAATCTCTTCACTTTTCTTCCTATGAAACACAAATGGTCACAAGGTGGAAGCAGGATATTCTTTGCCAAATTCAGAAACATACACCGCACACATACTCTCAAAAAGGATTAATCATGAATCTGCTGATGGAAAGTTAATCTATGCTTATCGTTCATCTAACAAATGACTTTATAATCAAGAGAATAATAAAACATATTAAATATATAGAACTAAAGCATAATCTTGATTGTAAACTTGTGCAAAACCCAGAGTTGTCATAATTTCCTGATGTACAGTCTCACTGAAATTTCTTCAATTCTCCTGGAAGAACTGCATTTATTAATTATTTATATTGCACATCTAAATATATTAAACACAAAGTTGCTTGTGATATATAGGGATCATTGTCTCATTTGAAAAAATAGTAAGCAAACTCCACATTTTAAGAAATGTTAAACTAGAAACTGCCACTTACAAAATCTGGACAAATAGCAGAAAATAAACTTTAACATGTTATTGGTAACCAATACAGACAACTACAAACTGGCAAGATACGTCTTTCAACAGGTTTTCTTGCTGTAAAACAGCCCTTGGCTTGTATTACGATATGGAATACTCTTTCAATTATATTTCGCACTGGCTTGTGTGGAGTACAGGAAGATCACTAAACAACCCTTAGCTTCAATGTCTCTGAGAAGAACAGACTTTTGCAGGAATGGCTTGTTTTCTGCCTGGAGAATCTGCAACATCAACAACACCCTTAATCACACAACACAAGAAGCATATGGAACTGGCCAACACTTAAGAACTGAAGCAGGAATGGGTAAAGTTACAGAAGTTTGAAATGACCGCTGTATCCAAATCTGGAAGTTGATTTGAAAACAATACCCAGAAAGGGATACCTGTCTCTTGTGACAATCAGAAAAACAGATGGTCATAACAAGCCTGAAGAAACGGACCATGGAGACTGAGAGTATCCTGTTCAAGAAATGCTGAGAAGGAAGACAATTTGCACAACCCCAGAGAACCATGCATTGCCTAGCAATCAACATTTGTAAGATGCAGACATCTGTTGATGTTACTTCACATTCCTTTACCTTACAGATTTATAGTATATACTGTAGGCCAGGGAAGTCAGTAACATTCAAGAAATATCCCCAAATTTTAAATATTCATCTTTTACCCTAGAAGGAAATTCAAAACCAAACAGTGAAAGCTTCAAATTGAAGTTCTTCAAAACAGAAATAATTACTGCAACTTATTTGCGTTACCTTGATAACAAGTCAGCAAAAAAAGACAACTGCAAAACCATTTGGAATCTGGGACTACACTCTTATAAGAAAACCTCTCAGGCAAAATTGAAGTAATTATTTACAGCCAATCAGATGCAGGAAAAAAAAGTTTTTCCAAATACAGCTTTGGAAACAGTGTTAATTGCACCGGATTAGAAATGTGTTCACAATGAGCAAATAATTAGAACTGTGTTTGAAAAGGATGTCTATAAAGAGTGTTCAAGGGAAACATTAATGGTGGACTTAAAAGAATAATTATTCTTTTTCATTTTTCTTGAGATGATTCAGACAATAATGGTTCATTCTCTCCAACTCATTACAGAGGTATAACAGAAATACAATAAAACCAGAAGACGAGATACGGGACAAATGAAAAAATACAGAGGTACACCATTTAATGTCAAGGCCAATTTGATGATGCAGATACAATGATTCAACCCAAGTAATCAAAGGGAAAAAAGCATTAATGTCTGCACACTTGTTCTCCATTACAAATCAACAGCCAAAATGAGCAGCTTTAACTTGCTTTAGCTGGGGATGCTGAAGTGTCTATTAGCACAAAAAGCAAAGGACACAGAATCAAGGCCTCACTGCAGGACCGTGCACAAGACCGATAATGCTGTACTCACCAGAAAGGACAACCTCGATCAGGTCTCCTTCGTGAATGTCATCGGCTGAGGTCAGCCGCTGCAAGATGTTTTCCGAGTTCAGGTCATGACGAAACAGCAGGATCTTGTCATACATGCCAAAGAAGCCGCACTCTGGGAACTGAAATCAAGAAAACAGCAATTAGGAACATTCGGTTCCAGATTTAAAGAGCCCACTTTTCCTTTTCCTACAGAAACGGCCTTTAATGTGTTGCACATCAGTCACGTCCACACATGCAGAGTCTCTCTCAAACTTGCCACATGTTACTGGCACCCAGTCTCCTGAAGAAATAACAACCCTCCGCTTTCTAAAATTGAAAAGGATTTGCCTTTACGGTCTTGCCAGTCGGCACAGTCGTGCCAACATCCAACAATGGCAAATAGGAAGCTGGCAAACCAGCTCATGTCATGTCATTAATGAAAATAGTAAAATTATATACTGGGTTAATATGTACTCTAGCAAGATGTAAACCACAGCATGAAGAGTCATTTTCAGCACCACAAAGGTGGTTTCAGAAGAAACAAAAGCTCAACACAATCTCTTACGGACTGTATTGTCTAACCACAAGTTTTTTTTTGTTCCGAATATTCAAATGAAACACAACTTAGCCAACCCAAGAAGGTCAGACAACAACAAGAAACTCTTAATTTGGCAAAACACATCTCTCAGTAAAACCTCAGCCCACAGAAATGCTGGTCAAAAGAAGAGCTTGGTTAAGAGAGACCAGCATGGTTTCACAGTTTTACACTTTACATCTCTCTACCAAAAAATATCTAGTGCTGAAGACACCATGAATTAAAAACTGGCATTACAACTGAGATTCAAATTAGTCTGCTTTAAACAAGAAAAACAAAGGAAAATGCATTTCATCAACTCTTAGGCATATCTGTCCATTACCAGCGCACAATACCATAAAACTTTGAAACCAGACTTTGCTACAGACCTCAAAGTAAAGATCATACACAGTAAAAATCATACAGTGTGTAATACAAAGGTTACACACCAGGTCTAAAAACGTGATAAATGGTATCTTCGAACTGAAAGAAGCTGATATCTAAAATGTACACCCGCCTGTATAGTGCTATCAGTTATGATTTTGAGTTGACAAAACCTTTTTAAAATTTTATGTGTCTCAGCTTAAAAAAATGTATCGCAATAAATCAAAATGAAAGAAATAATTGCATTCAGCAGACAAACAATTTGATATGTGGAGCATCCACCCATATCTTGAGGCATGTGTGTTCCTTATATACAGTATAAGCACATAAAAGACCTTAGGAGGTCAACCTCTGTTAATGCAAAGGTGATGTCTTCAGACTCCAGACAAATGGAAACTCATCTGGACCACCAGTCCCAAGCAATGAGTAACTATTGGCAGTACAAGCAATAACTTTTAGGAACGTGCTGTCACTTTTGAAAACCTGTACTCTCATGAGACATTCGCGTTCGTGTTAATTCACTTTAGACTTCAATACAGTTTCCATGTAAAAAACTGGTCTTTTTTGCTGTGCAACAGTGTTTTTTTAAACGAAAGCACCTCTTACGGCTAGTGTTGAGATGCTTTATTTGGGCAGCAGCCATTGATATTGGCCTGTTTCCCAATACCCTATGGCTATTTATTTGGTGAGGCTCACATGGCAGCATCTCTGTTCACAACAAATGGAAACACGGGAAGACAGGCAATCCAGCATGAAGCCAAGAGCTGGACTGAAACTCAAAGAGTTCCCCCTGACCAACCTTCATATACATCTCAAACTGATGCTCCATATACTGAAAATGAACATAACCATGGTGATTCGGGTGTCACTTACTTGCTTGTACTAAAAATGATGAGACACAACAGCGATAACCTGATGTGGGGACTACATTTGCATGCGTTCACTGCTTCCTGGTTCGAGTTTTGTGACGCAGTGCTGGCTGGTGTATCCAAGCATGTTCTTTACCAAGCTGCAGAAGGTTCAAATTTCCAAGGATCCCATTTTAACGAGAACTGAAATGTCTGATATATACAGTAGTAGCCCTGTTTATTCAACTTTCTTACTGTGGTTTTCAGAATAAAATGTAAAATAATATTATGGTTTACCTTTAAAGCCTTGAATGATTTGGTTCTTGGCTATGTCAACTGTTACTCCATAAGTATCCAGCTACAGTTGTTGGAGATGCTGTTTAGACTCTGGTCGACTTTCTGTCCTTTAAACTAGTGGCATCTGTTTTATTGGAATTACAGTATATCACAGTCCATATCGTTCCATGCAATTCTGTCAGGTCTTCTACATCCTGCTTAAAAAAGAATTCAGACACTAGCTTTTAATTCTGACTGATTGCCTCTCTGCCTTGAGAGGCTGTGTCATTAAAAAAGGCTTTATAATATTTTAATTAGCACCTTTCATGACACCATGTAAAAATGCTTAACCATAAAATAAGTCTAAGGTAAAAGCGCTGAACAAAGTATATAAATAATTAATACAATTCAACACATGGAAGAGAAATGAAAGTATACACAAATGTTAAGACCAGACTGGACAGTGTTGACTGACTTGCGGGACCTGGTATGGATGGGAGATCCAAGAGTCTTGGAGCAGCAGGACAGAAAGAAAGGCCTCACAGTATTCAGAGCCTCGTTTTATTCTCAATAGAAGGAGGGAGTCTGAGGAGCACAGATGACATGCAGGTGTGCAACAGAGGAGCTTAACAATTCCAAACTAGTCAGGAGACAAAGCATTCAAGCCCTGGGAGGTGTGCAGAAGCGTATCAAATTTTAATCTGAAATGCACAGTGAGCCGCTGAAAGGAAACTCAAACAGGTGATATTCAAAACATGAAGAATGTTTGAACACACTAGTATGCACTGCAGTCGAATAATCAAGCCTGGAGAAAACAAACATGCATGTGACAGGCCTTCATCTGCACAGGCCTGAGCACATGGAAATTCACAACAGATTCTAGGATACTAGAATACTGTGCAACGACTCTTCATTCAGCCACTGTCTTATCTTCACCCCAAAGACCACCAACCACCACCGTCACTCCCTTTATATACAAAACTGAACTAAATGAATGTGGCTTTCACCCCTTTGAAAGTTCACTAATTTATCGATTAATACAGTGCATGTGACTCTATATAGAAATAGAGACCCTAACGACCTCTAGTGGACGGTCAGCTGGAACCACTTTCCTCACTATTGCTGGCCTGTCTCAAATTGCATTAGTTTCTCTACATCCATTTGGGATACACATGAATCAGCATGGCCAGTGCTACAAAGCTAAAAAGACACCTTCACAACACGGCAAGCACGAGCTTCAGACACGAGCCTCTGATCAAAGATGATACAAAGATACCAGCCCTGAGCCCCTGGACTAATTCCAACACCATCAACGGTCAAACTAAAGTTGGCACAGCTGTAGATCCAATAAGTATAAGCAATAAGCATAATACCCGAATTGTTGGATGTAAAAAATGGATTACATCCACTTTTTAGCTCCTTTCAAGTAGTGTGACAAGGGAGATAGAATTTGATTAATGTCAGAATTCATGCAAACATACAATTGTGTGTCAATAGAACAGAAGTCAAACCTAATGCCATCTGACTCAATGGTAACATGCAGATATTAAAAATAACGGGACCAAAGGTACAGTCCTGCAAAGCACCATATGTGAGACCAGAGGCAGATATGAACAAACTGTTTACTATCAGATAATATTTGAAGCTCAATAAAGCACTTCCAGTAATGTCAACAACCTTCTTATGTATTCAGCAAGATGGTATGATCAACAGTATCAAAGTTAGTAATGAGGTCCAGAAGGAGAAAAACTGACAAAAACAAACAGAGTCTGCAGTTGTCAGTAAATCATTAGTAACCCAAACAAAAGCTGTTTTAGTACCACATATTGATCTGAACCCAGACAGAAATGGCTCGTGCAGCTTAGGCAGAGATAAATGAGCTAACAGCTGAACAGCAATAGCTTATTCTAAATAAATATATAAAACAAAGACTATTAATACTTCTATTGCTGCTATTATTAACTACGATGCCACCATGTAACCTGACGTTTCTAACATGCCATCAAGAGGTACAGAGACCTGCAATACTGTGCCCCTTATCGTGCCAGATCTGGTCCCCTTAGCAATGCAGTCCTGGACACAAACATATTTGTTTGTGTTTAAATTACTCTCCCTTTCCTTTTTAGTGTTTTGTTTTACATTTAATAATTCGTCTAAATATGGTCACAAATTTATGGTCAGGAAAACAGAGGGCAGGAAATAAAATAATTAAAATAAATCTGAGCGGTAGGTCTAATTTTGAGACATGCAAGTTCTTTATTCTCTGGCACAGTTCTGGTGAAAAGATAATAAACATGAAAATCGAAACATGAGGAAACAAAGACAAGAACATAACTAAACCACACAACATGTTACACAGAATACAACATTAAAAAAATATAAAACAAGGCACAAAGCATCATAGAGGTCTACGTTCTACATATCCAGAAAACTCTGAATGCTAACCCTTTAACCTGAAACGCTATACAATACCTTGACAGGCTGACAAGAGATGTACCTTAAATAAAAGAATATGACCCAGGGGTAAATCTCCCTTCCTATAACCTGGATGTCTAAGAGTGAGTGGACATCCCCGCATTCTTAAAATCTATCACCAATTAGGAAAGAATGTATTTAGCCTGAGGATTCAACAATAAAGAAATTCACGATTTCCTAATAATAAACAGGACAGCAAACTCTCTAAAACGAGGTTCACGTTACTTAGCCAGAATCTGGTCTCCAAGACTAATCAGAACAAGGTCCTCTCGCCTGGTTAGTATTATGATTAGCCAGAGCAATTTGCTAGAAAACTCCCTTTTGTCCTCTGTGTTTACCTGTCTGTACGTTCATCTGCAACTGGCTAAACTGGAACTCATTGTTTTCAAATTGTTACACAGCTCTAACAATGTTATGTTATACTAAGTGTGGGTATTTGAAGGATAAAGTAATTTAAATAGCACAGAATTAGGTTTTAGATATCACATAATTAATGTATTTCATATAAATTATCGTTTTTTTCTTGCATGGATTTAGGACTGACAGTACGAGTTTCTCAGATCAATCAGAAACCAAAAGATCT